CCGGTAGCGCTGGGGCAGCTCGACTCTTAAACAGAGCCGAAGAGTCGGGGGGGAGGGGGGCGCCCCAAAGCCAATAGCACTCGGCTCTTAAACAGAGCCGAAGAGTCAGGGGAGGAGCAGAGCCGCCATTTTCCCGGACATGTTCGGCTTTTTGGCAATTCCCCCCGGACGGGGCTTTGAGTGCCGAAAAGACGGACATGTCCGGGAAAAAGAGGATGTATGGTAACCCTACTGTAACTGTCTAGTTTTCAGAACTCTGATTTTCTTCACTATTAATTACAACCTCTGATTAATGGTGACACTTACAGGGACTTACAGGCTCGGGTATACATCTCCATTCTTGTGCATGCAAATTTTACAGCTGCAAATCCACCTCTTCTCTAGCTCTGTAAGTCTATGTCCCAAATGCCAACATATGCACTGGGGTTTTGGTAACATTAGTTTGAACTAAGCAACAGAGGGTCCTGTGGCACCTTTAAGACTAACAGAAGTATTGGGAGCATAAGCTTTCGTGGGTAAGAACCTCACTTCTTCACATGCAAGTTTGAACTGAGTGTTTGTAATTTACAGACCAAGAGGGGGCGCTAGCTGCCTCTGAAATACAGAGTAAAACCCGCCCACAAGCCTACAACGACCCAGGCGCTGGCACGGCCCCAGTCACAAGTTGAGACCTGGGGTAATCCCGACGGAAATGCGAAATCACCCACACCCAGAGTTCAAGATCTTTAATCTTCCTGCCACGGTTAAAAGCTTTTGGCGGGCTTCCCTTCTTCTTTCCTGCCAATTTGATATGCAGCACATTATTTTACCCTTACCCTACTTTAAAAAAAAAACGTGCATCAGCAGAATCGCCTATTTATTGCATTTATGGAGCATTCTCAGGGGGTTTGCTCATGTTCTGGCTCTGCCCTCCCCCACTTCCTTCTGCAAATTCACTGTCGTCACCCACCAGGATACAGTCCCGTTCTTTCCCATCTCCTACCTGCACCAGCTTGCTCCTTGTCAGGTGTCCTCCCGTTGGGCCACCTCTAGATCTTCTGGAACCACTTCTTGACCCAGAGGAGTAATAAGGGACCGTGTCATCTTGCACAAGGGCTGTCCCTGTTTCCTGATCCCTGGTGTGAGTGGATATGTAATGCATCACTTTCTGTTGGAACCCGGGGTGGGGGGGTGACCCTAACACACTCCGCCAACGACTCTCTCTAGGAGAATCCTCTTCATCATCTCCATGAAACCCTGAAGCCAGTGACAAATCTCTGGCAAGATTATTTTTTTTTGGTCAGTTTCATGGGCTTCCCGCACCCTCTCGCTAAAGCTATGACATCATCGCATTTGCAATCCCAGTAATGCTTTGCAGAGGAGAATGGGGAGGGGGGGGGGGGTGAAAAAAAAAAGTCGTGGGAGGAAGGGGGTGGTAAGGAAACACCACTGTGTTGCAAAGCGGAGGGGTGTTCCTGCACTGCTTTCTGTTTGGATGGGCAGAAATCAGTGAGCAGAGCAGGCAAGCTCCCCCTGCCACCACCTGAGTTGGGACCAGCAGTCCCAATGAGGCAGAGCTCTCCGCTCCTGTCGCGAGGCAGTGAAGGGGTTAAGAGCCGCTTGGCCTGATCCTTCAGTGGGGCTCCGAGCAATACGGCAGGACCGGCTGCAGGAGGAATTCGAAGCACAAAGCTACAGCATCGTTTCCGTGCGCACGCGGCAGCTCGGCTGTGGGATCTTTACAAACGCCTGCACAGTTCCCAGCCCTGACCTTCCACAAGCTTCAAATCCGCCGATTGGTTTGGTGTTTTGAGGGAGAGCGGGGCACAAGCACTTTCATTCATCTGAAATTCCATCCTCCCTCCTGACTCCAGTTCTCAAGCAAATGGCAACTAAAATCGACAAGGAGGCATGCAGAGAAGCCTACAACCTCGTAAGGGATGATGGCACGGATATTACCTGGTAAGTTTCAGCGCCTTGATGTTCTTCCTATCCTCCGGGCACAAGCTTTCTCTTCGTCCAGCCTGGAATGAGATTCAGCCCTGGCAAGCTGAAGAATGCGGATTTGTACAGTAAGTGATTGAACCGGTATTTTCAATGTGCTCGCTAGTAAATTGAAAATACTGGGCAGAATTTGCTTGTCTCTTATTAACAATGACCAGCTACATACAATACACAACTAGGGTTGTATTAGTAATCTGAAAGTGCAGGAATCCCTTTAATTTACTACAGTCTGTCTCAATTTGTCTATCAAATGTTTTAACGTTCTTAAAGAATCGTCCCCATTCAAGCATTAATATTTTCTTGTTTGCCTCCTTTCCCCTTCCCAAAGGGTGACTTTTAAATATGATGGCTCTACAATAGTTCCCGGAGACCAAGGAACAGACTATGAAGAGTTTACAAGGGAATGCAAAGGTAAGGCCAGTCTCATTGTTTGGGTAGATGGCAGACTGCTGCTTGCTGCCTAATAAAAGAGAGAAAAGAATTGGAGTAAATGTGTGTAAAGTGGAATGTGTCCCTGCCCTTGTTTCAGAAGTTTACTGTCTGATTGGATTTTCATACTACTACAGAGTATAATTAGCCCAATGCAATGCACTCACATAGCAGTCAAACTCTTTAATCTAATAATCCCTTTGTTTCGCCCACAAATTTAAATATGTGCAGCATTTTTTTTCTTTTGCACAATGGATGAGAGTTTTGATTCCCTTCCAGTTGCCCTCTAAACTGGAGGAAAATCTTATTAGCTCAGATCTTATTGTTTAACCCTAAAATTTAAAGGGTGAAATCTCTTACTGAAGAGAGAAAAATACCCATTTAAGTTATTATGGCTAATATAGCCATAGTATTAAAAAAGAAATCTTTGCCTTATAGAAACCTACAATAAATTCTTTTAATAGCACTAATCTATGCAGTAAGAACAGCACTAATTTAAAATCACAAAACTCAAGAACCAATAGAGTGAGGAAATTATATAGGAGACTTGCTTGAACAAATATAGTGTTAAAAAGAAATTAATTATGTGACACTACATAACCCTAACAGTTGCAGTTCAAGGTTTAAATGCGGCAGCTGTGGGTTGAACTGTGTCCCAGAAGTAGAGTGCTAAAGGGCTGACGGAAGGTGGTAATGGAATGGTGGATAGCCAAGAAATAGTTAACTACTTCTGACATTAAGACATGAAGTGTTTGCAAAAACTCGTCTTTGTTACTTTCTAACTATCCCTATGGGGATATTGTACGCGTAGTCCGCGCCTCCCCCCATGCTCCTGTTGGCTATGTGTCATTTAATTCATATGGTGATGTGCCAGGCTTGAAGTATTTATTGCTAATTGTTCAAGTACTAGCCTGGATTCATTTCAAAATGTTGGTCTGTAATTCTGGCAAAGCCTTTCTAGTTCATCTATCCCAGCTATGACTTTTAATTGCCTGTAATATTAATTATCTGGCTCACGGAAGCTGAACGAGGTCTAGTCCTCAAGGAGTAATGTAACAGTCCCTGACCTGCTAAAATGCTAATAACCACTGTGAAGGGGCCTCTCTGTCCAGAAAGGGCCCAGCCATGGACCCAGCTAAGAGTCGGATCCTCTCGCATTGAATTCAATGCCAAAACTTCCATGAAGTTAAATGGGGGAGGACTGGGACTCTAATCAGCATGTAGCTGTTGGCAGGGAAAGATCTTAAACTCCCAGGGGCTAGAAATATGTGTAGTCATTGAATCAAGATGCCTTAATTGCTCTATTCAAACCATTGCTGGAGGATGCTGTCAGGATTGCCTGGATACTCCTGAAAAGAGCAAAAGTCCCCAGCTGATCTCATTTACTTTGCAGAGAAACTTAAATTCACGGAGCTCCTATCAGAAGAGTTGAATTCCTGTACCCTGAAGAGAACTCTTTCTCTCATTCTGTGACCTTATAAGAAGGTGGGTGGGAGGAGTTAGCAGGCCAAAGGAGAGGCTCTAAGAGAGAGGAAACGTATTTGTCCTAAGAGAGGTGCCAGAAAATCCTTTTTGAAGGGAGGACACATGTCCAGATGGGGAAAACAAACACAGAGGCGCTGAGCTCCTGCAGCTCCCATTGACACCAGTTGTATTTCTGGGCACTCAGCTCTTCTGAAATCCAGGCCCACATTGCCTAAGAGAGGGTCAGCCACAGGGCTCTGGGTTGAACAAGGGCGATTACTTGCGGAGGTTGCTGAATGCCTTCCATATTTCTCTCCCCTGCCAGTGACTAAGGCAGTCAAACAGCTTCCCAGGCTGGAACCCTTCCACACTTATTTTCTCTGCCATTTATTTTTAAAGCTTAAATCTCTTGTTTTGTCTGGCTTGACTCAAACTGCTCTGTCTGGGAAGATACTGACTGTGCCTCTTCCTGACGAGTGCTTCTTACCTGTCATCTCTTCCTTACCTGTTATCCCCTCTGTAACAAGCAGCCTGAGCAGGTAGTTGGCGAGAGGAGGCGCTCGTCAGAGGCAGCTGACCCCCAGAACTTGTCCTGGGTAGGCTGTTGAACAGTAGCCACTGGAGTGGTGAGCTCTTGGGATCATAATCCAATTTCAGTTTCTTGCCAGCAATTTTGTGCATCAAACCCTTGTTACAAGCAGGGCGCTAAAAGGGACATAGACCAAAGCAGAATTCACCCCACCTCTTCTCCGAGTGAATTTCTCAGTGCAGAGCTGACCCCACTAGCCCTGAAGTTCCTCCAACAAAAAGGATCTTCCAGATCTATGAAGCTCAGACTAAAAAGAGGTTTCATATAAAAGGTGTGGCCAGGGTAGATCTGTGCTCTAGCATTAGCCCATGCTAGGGGCTGGACAGGCCCTCAGCAGGCCTTGAATAGAAGAAGGCAAGAGCAGATTAACCCGTGACAATAAAATATCTCTGAAGCACATGTGCTTGAAGCTTTAATAAACCATAGGAAGTGAAGAGGTACCGGGTATACAGACTCGGCCAAGTGTCAGACAGCTACTTCCTCCTCCCACGAACTAACGGATGTTACATGAGTTGGGGAAGGAAGATATGCTAGTTTAGTGACTCCATCTGTGCAACCAGTCTGAGCTCGACCACTAGACATAAGTCAGGAAACGGGATTGGTGCCAGCTGTGAAGACAGAGCTTCCCTTCCCATCTGGAGGAAAGGTGACCACTCTTAGTACACCGTAGAGCTGGTTGGAAAATTTCCGTTGAAACAAAAATTCAATGGAAAAATGTGGATTTAAATAAATGCCACTGGCTTCAAAGTAAACTTCTTTCCTGGTTTTGGATTCCTATTGTCTGAACAATACAGACTTGAAAGACCCTCTTCTTCCCCCCCTCCCCTCCCCAGCTGCCTTTTGTAGAGCCTCCTATGATTAGGTGGTTGAAGATACAAGTGGGAGCTTGAATACAAAACCTCAGCTCACCAGGTGTAGGCTGAGGTACCTCAGTGCAAATTCGCTCTGCTCTGCTTACCAGGCCATCTGTTACAATATGCTCTCAAACAGAAAGCATCTGTCTCCTGCTTTCTCTAATGGCCATTCTTATTAAAAGCACCTTTGGTGTGGTGTGCATATTGCTTTCCTCCTGGGCATTAGATTGTAGGGAAGGCGGAGTCAGTGGGTGCTAATTCACTTGGCTCAAAGATACAGGAAGTTCTTTTGTTCACGTCCTTATAAGGTTGCTTGCTTTTTGCACTTCCTGCATTGTGCGAGGAGTTCTCAGTAGTGTTGCCTGCCCCTGAATTGAGACAGACAATCTCTTTTAGACATCTCCATTCCGAATACCACTGGTGTTCCCAGAATGTCTCTGCAGCAACTACAGCAATAACCTCCATGGGGAAAATCAGGAAATGATGTAGTGTATATTTGGCTTCTTTTAATGTGACTTAGTGTAACGCTGACAGACCTCGGTCGCTGGCGTGCAGGATCGAAACCAGGGACTTCTGGAGTTTATTAGTGCGTGAGCCTCTATTGCATGAGCTAAAAGTCAACTGGCTGTTCGCAGACCCATTTTATCTCTCTATAAGCGGACTGAGTGCCACTACATGGGACAGAACACCACACCCAGAAGGTGTGTGGGTTACATATTTCCCCTAGCTGAGGAAGCACGTCCTGAGCTTCAGAGTCTTCCCAGTTGAAATCCCAGACAAGCCCCCACTTGTAACACCTCTGTTGGCGGGCGGGATCAAACTTGGGGTCTTTACCGTGTGAGCTAAAAGCCAGTAACTGCCTGTTAGCTAAGGCTGTAAAGCAGACTCATTTTATCTCTCTCTCTAAGTGGTCTTGGTGCCACTCGATGGGACCGAGCACCACACCAAGGAGGTGTGTGGGTTACATTAGCAGCTGGCAAAGATACCATGTGACCAGCCAGCTCTCTGTAGACACTCTGGACTACCATTTAATAAATATATTAAACATTGT